TTTATCGCAATTCGACGAACCACAAATAATCGCGCGTATATTCGATAACATTTCACTGTGCTTGCGCTTCGACGCGATGTCCCCAATTATTCGCGCTTTCTCGTCGCAGTTCACGACACGTTATTGTCAGCGGTTGCCGTACGAATGTTCGCACTACGTTACCTAGGCTTCAATTGAACGCCTATTTTATAGGCGCGCAAAACTGCGAATCGCTCAATAGCAAATATTTCGCACGATGCGGTTAAATTTTCTGCATGAAAACAATACTGCAAACAAAATTGCAAAAGAAAACACAATAGATAGAAAAATAGCTAAAAAAAAATTGCCTGGTGTGCAAAAGGCTTAAAAGGCTACCAGAAACTTTCCAAACTTTTAACCGAGACAATGAACTTTCGTGAAAAGGATTCGCCAAAAGGAAAGAAAAGGATTGGAAAAGATTACATTTTGTAATCTTTTCGTAATCATACAAATCTTCTGTCACGTCAAATCACGATATTTAATCCTTGCACTTCCGAATATTTATGATTAAAAAAGAAAGTGTTGTCTCGGGAATGGTTTTGTATACTTAAGGGTTACGAAAGAATTGAGTTTCCCGTTAAAAAATTTAAACTTTGACATATATACTCGATATCGGGAAGGTCGAATAATCCCGATATTTGAGAAAAACGCGGTTTATGGAGACGAGGCGAGAAGATCGTTACGAAAGAAGTATGCCGGACATTCCGAAGCAATCGCGGCGATTATTTTTAGACGTCGCTCGTCGCATCGCGCCGCGAAACGAATTTTGTTTTTCCGACGGTTTTTTCCGTTCCTTTCCAAGAGAAAGTACTCGCGGTAGAACTACAAGGGTTGCGACCAATTAGGGAGTAGACGCAAGCGGGGGGCGGGTACTCCTGGCGTCGCGTTGCCAAGAAACGGCAATCGTAGGCTGTAAGGATCCCGGTCGCCGTTAAGGGTATTTTAGGGTGGAGGAAAAACTCTCTAAATATTAGCTAACGAAGACGAGCCCCGCGCGTGACGTCAATTCGCGTCCTAAGGGCAACCCTTCAGAAGCTGCGACCATCACTGCGTAGGAGCTTTTCATAAAAAGATCTGCGGAGCAACCGTGCTTTGATGTTCGCTCGATCATGAACTGTTCGTCAGAGAAGAAAACACGCAAGCCCGATATTGCTAATCTTAGAGGCAAGTTTACGTCACACTTTTAGAAATCTCTATACATTTCGTTATTTTGAGGAATATATTTTTATTTGTGTATATTGTATTGTTATGTATTCCTATTTGTATATATCTTATGTATTCTTATTTGAATATATCATGTATATTATGTATTTTTTATTGTTAGATTATTTTGCAATATCGCTACAAGTGATTTAGATTTTCAATCAACCGTCAGAATTTGTGTTCCGTGACTACTTTGGAAATCCGGGCGAGTGAATTCACGTTTTATTGACGGATGCTCCTGTCGATTTCAAGGCGCGACATCGGCATTCGGATAAGCGGGGACGTTCGTACGCCGATAAAGTCGTTGGCCCCGAGTCGAAGAGGCGGTACGTCGTAGACGCGTAGGTGGATAGCCGGAGCCTTATGAATGAACTCTCGCGTAGCCGAGAGTGTGAGTGAATGGAGGAGGATCCAGTAACCTCACGTGCGAGCGACATGTGTGGGAGGGCATGTCGGGAGTGGTAGGGTAGATAGAGGAACAGAGAGAAAGTGAGGAAGGAGCACGCGGGTAGCGGCTGGGAGAGAAAGAGAAAAAGAATGTGAGGAAAGAAGCGCGAGGCGAGGTCTTTGAATTCGCAGATTGTTGCACACACTTGCGCGATCATCTGATATGCCTATCCCTCTGGTTCAGGGTGATCGCTAATTTCGCCAGGTCGCGCCGACTTTTAACAAAAGTGCCGCCGAGGGACACTTTCGATATTTCAAATTATTACCCGTTTACGTTTATATTTACATCGAGCTATCACGATCGAGACACGGATAAAGTATCTTTTTCAGCATAATCATAGATTTTACATATTAGATATTGAACGTTTAGTGTTAAGCTTAATTATATCCGCATGAATTAGTTTTTCCAGTTACATGTTACCACTGTTCAGAAGTCCAGAATTCCTGATCAGTCAGCGCCTGGGCATGATGCAGGACGACGAAAAGGAGCCGGAAAGTGCACCGCAGATGATATTTTCTGCGCCCGATCCTACGACGGGATTGCCGATCACGCAAGAACAACTCATCGCTAGTCAAACAAGAATGACTAGTATCCTGATGGCCACGAGATATCCCGTATCGCTACACGCCACGTTAGCGACATCTCCGTCGCTCTACTCGCAGGAGTTCTTCAGGAGTTGGGTACCGCGAATCGCATCCTCGCCACCTTCTCCCTTTGACCCAACACGAGTATCGCCGGTCCCCAACACAAAACCCTCCTCCCGACGTAACAATCGTAAACGTAATAATAATAACAACAACAATAACAACAACAACGACAGGATTGTCAGGAGGGGTCGTGCAGACACAAGCAGAGTTAGCCCTTCAACCAGTCCGGAAACGACGAGGAATAAACGTTTCGTGTGCGGAGTGTGCAATACGCCCTTCGGATATAAACATGTGCTGCAAAATCATGCGCGTATACATACCGGCGAGAAACCTTTCCAGTGCAAAGAGTGCAAGAAAAGGTGAGAATCTTTAATCATCGCATGTTTTCTCTCCGTATAATTTTTCTCCAAGTCACGACGGAAAGAATCCTCGCGAAAGATCATAGTCACAATATCCGGAGTTATAGAGAAGACATTTTATACGGTTCTTTTCATGCATGGAGAGAATAGTTTTGCTGACAAATCTAAAACTTCAGCTAAATACAGATCCGAAAATAATATTGTTGGGCTTTCAAAATAATTATATACGACATTTAAATTGGCTGCTTAAATTAAAAAATAACAAATTTTTGTAGTATTATTATTATTGCAGTACGTTTAAACGTTCTACATAATAATTTTGATAGTCCAAAAAAATTATTTTCAAATCTGTATCAAATTTTTAGATTTATCAGCCGTTCTTTCTGTCTTAGGATTTGACAATCTCAACTTTCATCGATGATCTCTGATTTTGCAGATTTACTCGAGACCATCACCTGAAAACGCACATACGACTCCACACGGGCGAAAAGCCATACAAGTGCACATACTGCGATCGAAAATTCGTTCAGGTCGCGAATCTTCGTCGTCACGAACGCATACACACCGGCGATCGCCCATACGCCTGCAATTCGCCCGGGTGTTCGTCGAAATTCAGCGACTCGAATCAGTTGAAGGCGCACAAGCTGATACACAAAAATGAGAAATCGTTCGAATGCGAGAACTATGGCGGGACGCAGGAATCGTCGCCGGACGTCGAATCAACCGCGTCGTTGTACAGCGACAGCCACGATTCGGAGGAGAACGCCGACGGTGATGGCGACGCCCACGTCAACGGGGAGCAGACAATGGAGGAGGAACCGGAGGAGATCACCACGAGAAGGTTCATCACGCTGAGGAGCCTGGCTGGTCTACCAATTAACCCCGAGCTCAACGGTCCCGTGTATCCCTCGATGACGCTAAGTCCGCCGGAGACTTCGATTGACTTGCCGGAGCAAACGGAACCCGAGGACCTGTCCATGAATAAATCGTCTTAGCACAGATCGCACTCTGACGAAAGCACCAGTTCATCGCTGAATGCCGACGTCAGCATTCCGGAAATGTACATTTAGGTAATCGTTGTAGTAGTTGTCTGTTAATGTCTTTTATTCGACAACCGTGAACGTTGAAAAACTTGATGTACACACAGAAAAATATCATTCTGTTACTAAGAAAAGTAACTAGTGAAAAGTTTACTTTCCTTCTTCTAAGTAACAATTATTTTTATCGAAGAATATTCTAGGCAAGTCTTAAAATATACTTATTCGCAAATCTTAGAAAAACTTATCATATCTTAGAAAAAGAATTTATTTTTTTTCTAAAGAATATTAAATTAATATTAATAAAATTTCTCAATCAGATTTGAATATTTGATAATAAACAAATCGATTTTTTAAGTTTAATTTGATATTCTTTATTTAAGTATTACACTTGCTAAGATTTCAGAATATATTCTGAATAAATGTGATGCTTATGATGAACTTATGGTAAATTTGCGGATATATGAACTTTTGAAATTTACTTGTGACAAGTAATATTTACTTAAATACAGTATACAGTATGTATTTTTCTGTGCGTGAGTATAGTTAGGTAGGATAATGTAATGGAGAACAAGAGAAAGAGAGTATGCGCGTTCTTAGTGAGCGTTACACGCTTTGCATCGACGAGAGAGGGAGAATATAGCTGTTCGGATTTGGATATACTGGTATACAAGTTCCTCTGACAGTAAAAAGTAGCGGGGAAGAGTGACGGCGGTCCGTCGGTCCACTGTCGCTGTCGCGAGTTCCGTGTTTTCTCCGACTATGTGTTTTAGCCATGTGTATCTATACCACATCGTCACATTGTTACGTTTCTCTCTGTGATTTGAAGATTTATTAATCACGCTATCTCGATCGAACGAGCATTCTGTCCGGAGTCGCTTAAATAATCCGGACATTCGGGTGCACGAGACATTCCACACATCTGCGAGAGATTTCCAAACGTGCAATAGCCGAGTAACTTTCGAGATAACGTTCACGAATTAAAATAAATAAATTATTTATTTAATAGCGCGAAAGTAAATTCGTGTTTTTTGTCAATTTTTAAATAGGATGACGTTACTCGATACTTGCGTCCCTGGCGGTTCAGCAAGCTGGAAAATCGCGATCGCCGGGCTACTCGATTTAAAATTCAAACCCATCTTCACCTCCATTACCTCCTCCAGTTTCGCCTTGATCGCAGAGAATGAGAGGCTCGCATAATCGAGATCTGCTTCTCCGATTTCCGCCTTCTATCCTTCGGACGCGCGCACCCGGTCCCATCATAGATCCCTTCAAAGAGAGACCTAAGCTTTTTATGTAACTGGTTTTTTTTTTGCTCTTTTCTCTTCACAGCCGGCGCGCGTCTTTTGCGCGAACCAGTTTTCGCAGACCGATGTCACCGAAAAATTTTGCAGCCGGTAACTGGCCTCTTTCCTAGGTTTCTCATCTCACCCCCATCTTGCTTTTTAAATCTATTGAATGCTCGTTTGATTTACTCGTGTAAGGATATCATCGCATGTATGCAAATTTCTATCTTCACCGCTGCGAATTTCCGGACCACCTAGATGCGTATGGTTAGGAATAGACGTGACGCAACATTGAAACAAGAAAAATGCTCCCATTTCCACTTTTCTATTAGTCCTATGCAATAAAGAGCTACGAAACACTTTGGGATATAAACCACGTCTTTACAAAATAAAACGGAGAAAGAGGAAGAAAGTAAGCACAAGGGAGGTATAAGCACTTTCTTCGAAATGTTGCTCGAAAATAATCGGAAAGACCATATTGCCCTCGTTTATCTTTTAACTGTTTTGTTCGACTATTTTGTAAGAAGAGAAAGATATATATTCTGAATTGCCCGAGTTATCCCGCAGATTTAAAGCTCTCGTTTTTAAATATATACGCAGTTTCTGTACAACTTACTAAAGAAAGTGTCTGAAGTCACGCGAATAAATCAGTGCTTGGCCAAAGGATACCAAATCCGACGTGAATTTATTTTCACGAAATGTAAAAAGCAATGCACTACTATTTTACGAATTATATTTTATCTTTTCTTCCTTTTATTTTTATTATTTTTATTTTTAAAATACATATATTTCGAAAACCTCAAACTTATTCTCGTATTTTTATTCTTTTTGACTTTTCCTTTTTTAATTCTTTTTATTGTCATTTTTAACATACTTTATCTTAAACTATTTTAACGGAATTTGACTCAAACATTTTTTATGGATCTTTAAAAAGAACGACGCAGTTAAAATCAATCATGGTGCCATTGCTTTTGCCATTTTGGAATTTTTGCAAATGTAAAGGCGAGCACCAGGCGGTGATCCTAATTCTTGCTGTATCCTTGTAATCTTATTACATTCATTCTAAAACGAGCAATAGATTTATTTTTCATTCGTTGCTATTCGTTAGGCTCTTTCATAATTCTCGTTATACTATTTTTTTTCCTTTTCTTTCTTCTCGCGTTTCGTGCACTCAAACATTTTGCAATGTCTCGTTCGATCGAGCTTTTTTTCTACATGGAGATCACGTTCATACTACTATTTGTTTTATTATTACGTTATAGATTTCGCTCGTAGATTAGTTTTAAAGAAGGGTAATGCACCTTCTTGTCGATTCATTCACGTACCTATTTCGTTGGTCGCATTCCGCAGGAAATACCACCAGCCTCTCAGAAGGAAAACTAAAATAATATATAATTCAGAAATGCAGAATAAAACATGTTTATTTGAATGTATGTTGTTATCTCGATATAATCCCGGAGGATAAATGATTTAGAATTTTGATTTTGACATCGTTTGAGACTCAATCGTTGAGGCTCCGCGACAGTCGTCAGGTAGCAAGTCAAATCTCGATGGCTTTACATTTCTCGGATCTCGCGAATCTGGCCCGGCTGCCGGCGAAACCATATATAAACGTTACCTCTGCCGAATGCGCCCGTTACATCGAGATACCGTCGAGATATTTTCTGCCATCACGCAGAGGCACGCAAGAAGCGACAGAGGTCAAGCAGGCCCCGATCTCGTGCCCCGAAAAAGAAAGGCAAATCTTACCGCGAAACTCCCGAGTATATTATTGTACATAGAGGAATCGCATCCCCCCTCCCCCCCCCTCCCCTCGGGTAGAGGACCGTCTGAGGAGTGAAGTGTACAGGTGTAAGCGTCGCGAGTGTCTTTCTCTCTCTCTTCCCGGGTGTCCTCTTTTTCTTTCGAGAGGAGTGACAGATGAACGAGCGTACCGGCGGTACCGCGTGACAGGAGGAGCGCTTAACGAATTTACTTGTGGTCAATCCGCAACAATCGCGAGGCTCGAAACCGGTCCTCTCGGGCGACAGGAGAGACGACGAGGAGACGACGTATCGGGCCGGGACCCGCGACGAGAGAGGCGCCGCGATTAATCGGACGGCGCGTCGCGGAAGAGTTTCTCTTGTCAAGAGCGTGCGCGCGCTCCGAGCAAGAACCTTCCCTCGTCACGCGGCCTAATCATCGGGTGACGATTACGTCGTCAACGGCGCGAAAGAACGCCCGACGTCCTCGGATTAGCGATCGACGCACGACGGCTCGTAATTTCGCCGGGTTCGAGCACGAATGTCGGCGGGGGGCGGGCGCATCGAAAGCGATCTCTATGCCTGCTCGCGAACTTCGCGAAACGCATCGGCATAGGATGTATCTGTTTTTGTTTCTCCTTTCCCCTCCCGCCGCATTTGGCTGCTTGAACTCGCCGAAATTGTACCCGACCTCAGTCCATGCTTAATCTTTCACGAAGACGCCTCGCGGCGAATCGATTCGCGTTAATCATTCGCTCGGTACAAGTCGTCCGTTGTTTCCACTGTTTCGTTTTCACGAAATTGGCGCGTTCCCCAAGCGCGTTCTCGACGTTTTCAACGTTTACACAGGTGACACTTCACGGCACCCTCCGAAACGCGACGACGGTCGCGATTACGGAATCAGCAAATTGGCAAATGGTAACTCGAACGGTCGGTCGAAAATCATAACCGGATACCGCATCCTAGTTTTGTTCCTAACGTTCGATCGCGATTGCCGAGCGTTACCGAGTCGAAGAGATCCCTTCGGGCAATTGAGCCGCAAGTTATCCGATTTCTGCTCGGCGTAACGCGACGCACTCCGCGCGATGTTGAATGCAAAAGAAGTACCTTGAAGAAATATCGATTCCTAGTTAATGGTTGTTAGTTCCGAAACGCTGTTTGTAACTTACGTTCCTGCCGGGCTCGTTTGCGCGAGCATCCGGCCCGCTGTTTTTTCGTTTCCTTGTAAGCAGACCTTGGCTCACAGTAACGAAAATGTCTGAGATATCGACGAGGCGAGGAATCACGTTAAGCATCGTGATTAATGAATAAGGTTATCGCTTGTCCTATCTGTAATCATTATTGTTGTTGTCCTCTTATTCTTAACGTGCAAAAAAGGTTGTATATATATTATATATATATAATATATTATATATATATATATATATATATATATATATATATATTTGTGTCGAGTAGTAATGTATTAATGCGATGTATATGCTCGAACTGGGAGTACGTGGTACGGATGGGAATCGAAATGTACGTGATGACATATAAAGATAATGCTACGAAAGATAAAGAAATATAAAAAATATCTTATATTGTTAATAAGATATTATCGAATTGACATGATTACAAATAACAGAAATACAAAAAATAATTTAACTAGATTTAAGAACTCGAACCAAGATGTAGATATACTTAATATAGATAAGATGGATGGTCGGGGCATAGGGAAGCATTTGGATATTTGGATTGCTTAAAAATATTTTAAAAAATATATATATATATATAAGATATATATATATAAATTATATATATAAAATGGAAAGGATTATCTGTTCCTTATATATGAATTCTATAAAAATGTCGATTTGTTACGATGGAAACGCATCTAATTCGGTGATCCTATCAAATCTCTAGCCATCCTGCAGAATCATTGGCTATTTTGATGAATGAAAAAAAAATTCAAACACCTCACATGCAATTACGTATGATTTTATAAATTGTCCTTTTCTCCTTC